AAAAAAGTTATAATAATTTTTTGTGTTTTATAAAAGTTAAGATTTTATTTTAATTTTTTTATGTTACAAACACGTATAAATTATTTAAGAAAACCATACAATCTGTAAATCTATAAGTAAATCACAAGGATGATATATAACATAGTAGATAAAAGACAAAAAAAATGGTAACACCAGTTTATATTTACATTTATAGCCACCAAAAGATTTCTAAGGATCATAGGTATAATTTACCATGTGATTTATCTAAGCAAAACATGAAATCACCGGTTTACAGTAAAGAAATTATCTATAAGTAAAGCATAAGGATGGTGACTGATTGGTTTGAGTTTGAAATCTAAAGGTCAAAAGTGTCTGGAGGTCACAGGTTCAAATCCATGGAGAAATAAAAATCCTCTTGTATCATTGGAGATTCAAATGTGATGACTCCGGACTACCCATAAAATAGCTGGTCGTCCTGAGATTTGCCGACTCAGATAACGAGTTAAATATTCAGGTTAATAAAAAATAATATTTATAAGTAATAAAAATAACTTTTTTTTTGTGATGGTACATAAATGCCATGATCTTTGCTTCTAAATAAATTATAATAAAAAGTAAAGAAAAAAAAATAAAGGTTGGAATTTTATTGGTTAAAAAGAATGCCACGTGGTAAGAAATTAAGACAGGTCAAATCAGGGACCGGGGGTGGGTGTCAAAATCAAACTGGTCAATGCCATGATTTTGAGACCGCCGATTTTTGGATGAGAAAGAGAGAAAGCTCCAGACAGTCATGTAGCAACCACTCTCTTCAATTATATATGCCAAAATCCATCTACTATTTTTATTTTTTATTTTTTATTATTGTATATTTAATTTATTTAATTAATAAGTTTTCAAATATAAATAATCAGGTTATTAATTATGTGATTCAATTAATAAAGAATTATATATATATATATATATACTAGAAGAGTACTTACGTAATGTAGTGAGACACATCTCGATTTTAATGTTCTATTTTATTATTTGTCTTTGTCGATGTTATAATACGATTTTATGTATTTTTAAGAAAATATTAATGATTTTATTTTTGAATAAAATATAAATTTAAAAAAAAAATATCAATGTTAATATCAAATCAACTATTTAAAAGTTCTCATTTTTTATGTAAAAACTTTAATTTTTTATTTATTATAATTTAATTTAAGTTTAGTAACGAAATAATTTATTTTTGGTTTAATAATATAACATTTTATAAATATAATAATTAAGAATTCTGTTAGAACTCAATAATTATCCTGATTATATTTTAAATTTTTTATATTTAAAATGAGATGTTTATTCTGTATTTGATTATGTTTATCTGCAGTTAGTTACACGAATTCAGATGTGGAGCTTTAATAAGTTGTACTTACGCACAATATCTACTTGCAATCTTGAGTTTTAAGTAATATACATTAATAAACAATACTTTACACATAAAAAGTGGGTTTTAAGAGTTTTTTCAAATGCTTTATCTATACTATATTATAAAATATTTGGCTAAAACTCTTAAAACTCTTAAAAACTCTTAAACTCGTTCATCCCTA